ATTAAAACATATTTATGTTATATTAAATATTTTAAGAAAATGATTACGTACACAGGATCGTATTTACGTTGTATCATGTTAAAAAAAAAATAATAATGAAACAGATAAACTTGCTTTCTTTAAGTATTTTAGTAAATAAAAAAAAAGCAGGAAGAGGAGTGAGAAGCATATGGGCCCATTTTCTGCTGTGCTTATGGTATGTGTTGAAGGCCCAACTTAGTTTTAATTTTTATCACTATTCATTAAGCCCGTTCTTATGTTTTGGATCAAAATACACTAACGTGAACCCGAACAACACGACACAAACTTTAAAAACAAACTTTAAAAGATGTTTATGACAAATATAGGTATGATAAAACATGATTATTTATAAGAAACTTCGTTAAAATAATATAAATTATAGAGGTTTTGTTCAATAAAAATAATAATATAATAAGGTATATGTCACGTATAAATATTCATGTTTGAATATTAATATGGGTAATTTTTGTATTAATTCAAAATTAAATTATTGATAAAAAATTACAAATTATAAAGATACTAAAAATAACATATATATGGAAATATTGACATGTAAATACTAGTTTTCTTTTTTTACGCAATCAATATCACTTCTAAGAAAAACTAATCATGGTTAATAATTTCACTTTAAAAAAATATATTATTTATCTTTTATGTTTCTATTCGCTACTTATAATAAATAAATTATGAAGAGCATCACAATGAAATTATTATGTTTGCACAGAGATAATAATATAAATATATATATATATATATATATATATATATATATATATATATTTAACTCACATCTTTAAAACATAAAACTATATAATAAAGCCAACTTTAAAATAAATTTTAAAAAAATTATTTTAGAAAATTTATATGAAAGAAAATTATATATTATTATATAAAATGTATTTAAGAAACACATGAAAATCATAATCATCAAACACAACCATGAAATTAGTGTTTTGAATTGAAACTTAAGGTAGCAAACAAATCAAAGACATCCAAAATTAATTTATCATCTATTTGTCTTGCTTCTACTCAATTCGTCTATAATAGTATGAATGTGACATTAATAGGAACTAGATAAGAGTGGTCATAACGCGATTTAAAGAGGTCATGATCATCGTAATTAAGATTAGTGGCATATTATACCAACCCTTCTTAATCCTTAATTGAAATGGAGTTGGATCGTATCGAATGAAGAAGATAAACACAAATCCACGTGCTGCAAAAGATAAAATAACATTTTGGTTCATCCTGTTTTTTTTTTTAATTTATATTTTCTTTCCAGAATTATATTTTTTATTTTTTAATTCTTAATTTAACCTTTTTTTCTAATTGAATCATAAACATAATATATTTAATTAAGGTATCATCGAGCAATAATTAAAATAACTAAAATGTAAACAAAATTTTAAAATCAGACTAAATTTGTATATTTAAAAAATTATAGTGAACTAAATTATGAAAATAAAAATAAAAACATAAATTAGAAGTTTAAGGAGAACTAAAATTTCAGTTTAACTAATTTAAAATTATTAAATGAAAAAAAATACTTGGTAATTATTTTAAAAAGCTAATTACATTTGAGAGCAATAAAAGAAATTTAACTAGTTTAAAATTATTAAATGAAAAAAAAAACACTAAACACATGAATAATATTGATAATTATTTCAAAAAGTGAATTACATTTGAGTGCAATAAAAGAAATGTAACTCTTTGGGAAATAGGAAGTCACTGTACATTATATTAAACTTTGTAGATATTAATTTTCTATGAAAGTTAACAATTTTGAAAAGTATATGATATAATATATTAGATGTTCCATTTCAATTATGATATTATTTATTTTAAATAAAAAATTATCTTTAACCAAAACATTATAACAATAATAAGAAGAAGGAGTAAACATATAAATTTTATACATTGAGTATTTAAATTTGAGGTATATTATAAACAGTAACAATAAAATTAATATGAATCAAGCGTTCTTCTTACTTACATAGACCAACTCAAAATTTGTTATTACAAAATCATTAATGATAAAAAATTACAAAATAGATTGAAAAATTGTTCATTTTATATATCATCATATTTTGAAAGACAAAATGAATATATTATTGAAAAATATACTTAAATCTTGTATTTGGATTTGAATTTATTGGATTTGATGGTAAAAGAAAGTAAAGAATGAATAATTTTATGTATAAATGCTTTAATATTATGAATGGAATAATAATAGTAATAGTAATAAATAATAATAATAATAATAATAATAATAATAATAGTAATAATAATAATGAATAGGGAAAACTATTTTATAAATTTATATGATCCTTCCCAAAAATAAGAGACCAAATGTAGATGAACTTTCTGTAGCCATGTGCATCATTCCACAATCTCCTGATAAACTGTGAAGTAACGTGATATTAATTTTATACTTTAATTTTTATTTTACTATCTGTGAATCAATATATATATATATATATATATATATATATATATATATATATATATATATATATATATATTAATGATCCATGTTTTAGAAAAACAATCTGTAAATAGGAATAAAATAAGGGAAATTGAAAGAGATATATAATTAATAAATAAACATTTTAAATTATGATATATTTTTTAAATATTGATAAATTCATTTAAAATGATTAAAAATTAAGTTAGCAAGATAAATTGAGATGATTGTTAGAGAAAACCATGACTATTTAATTTAATTTAAAATATAACTTTCTCTCTTTAAATCTTATATTTTAATTTGTAATATAATTAATTGAGATGAACTCTCGTATATACATGTATCATCAAATCTTGATTTAGTCATGTTGAAAGTCAAATAAATATCATACCATCAAAGTTTTCTAATAAATTAGAAAAATAAAATCAATACATATAATATTCCTTGTTTTTTAATCAATGAATTACAATTCAATATATAAAATAACATAATATTATCTAAACCAATACATAAAAAAAAATCTTAAAATAATACGTTTCATGTTTTTATTTGTGTTACTTAATTTTTTTTTTTATACAACGTGAAAACTATATAATATATATAGTATAGTATGCATTGAGAAATTTTACTAAAGAGGAATAATGATAAAGACAAAAAAGTTAAATAATAATATTCTAATTATTATCAACATTATATATATAAGAAATTATAAAAGATATATTATATAAACTAAATTTGATACACATTTTTTTGAAGTATATAAGTCAACATTTAAAAGTAGGTGATAAAGGAAGAAATCCAAAATTACAAGAAAGGAATGTACACAAATGACTCAACCACCATCTTTCATCACACCCCTTACTATATTAAATCCACACATTATACCATGTGTGAAAAATCATTAAAAAATATATATTTTATGAATACACTAAAGAAGAATACAATATAGTTGAGATGAATGTCAAAATAAAATACAGTATCAATTTTGTCTTATCTAAAATTGAATATAACAAATATGAGAAATGCAAAACTACAAAAATGCTTAGGATGTCATTTCAATAACCCACAAAAGAATTGATGACATACATATGAGAAATGTTGTCACTTTTCAAAGGAAGTATGGAATGTTGAAAATGAAAAATGTTCAAGATTTTAAACTGTCATAAATGACTTTGGAGTGGAATATCCAAAGCACAACAGAGTGTGAAAACCAAAGACAACGATCATAGCTAAAGCAAAAAACATGATGATAATGACACTAAACAAACTTATTAAAGTATTATCATCAAGTGCATACCCTAAGAAAATATAAACTCTAACCTAAACAAGGAAATTCTTTTGAATCCTCTAAAACAAATAAACATATGTGAAAAGCTTTAAAACTGCAAAAATCTAAAACTAAACAAACATCTTAAGACTTAAAAATAAAAAAAAATCATACTATGGTATACCACTAATGAATAAGAATTTCAAGAAAATACTAAAAAGGAAAGGTAAATGATTTTTTAAATGAGCTAATTTATAAATTAATTTTAATTTATAAACACATTTATTTTATTTAAAAAAGAATACATTTTAAAAGTGCTTTTGGAAAAATTTGTTCGAATATATCTTTAAAAGTTAAAAAAATTAGGATGTCTCCTCGTGTTAGCAAACATATTAATATAAAAAATATTCTTTTAGGTATAATAATAATAATAGAAAAAAGAATATGAAACTATTTTATACTATTACAATTTAGTTATTTTTCAAATAGCTTAAAGTTCAATTTTTTATTTAAACACTCTTTAGTGGCTACATCACCGGTCTAACTGGAAAGCTAATTTGCAATAAATACAAAATTAAATAAAATGAAAGCACTTTTTTTTTTAATCAAATACTCCTTTTCCGCCATAGGAATCATATGAAGTGACACTTCTAAGAAATTTAAAATGTGGTGCTAAATTAAACAGTAAAACTAAGTTTAAAAGACAAATATTAATTTAATATTTGCAACATTCATAAAAGAAACAAATTAAAGTTCTTGACCGTGACAACTATCAACCAATGTTATACAATTATTGATATTAATGAAAGAACAATTTGGTTCTTGACTTGTTCAACTATCTATTAATTTCATTCCCCACTTCATGCTCATAATCAATTTGGTCTCTATATTAAATTTAAATATAATTCATCACTTTCATGCATATAAGCAAATTTGGTCTTTCTGAAATAATTAGATTAAAATATAAGGGACCAAATCAATTGATAGTCCCAATTTCAATTCAAGGACTGAATAATTTATGAAACATAATTAATTTTGGTGCGCAAAATTCATTTTCCACTCCAACAATGTTGAGCAGGCGATGTGGGTCCCCGAGTCTTAAATGTCTAACGTTTAAGGAAGGATACTATTACACTGGTTGGGAGACACGTAAATTCTCCCTTGGTTTCTCTCCAACACAAAATTCAGTTTTTTTCTCCGTGATCATCATTTTGTCATCAATTTCTCGGTAGAGGCCACTGACACAACATGGTTTCTGAGGTAATAATAATTCAGTTCCCTTTTCCTATTCTTCTGCACAAATTACAACTATGACATCAACACATGCCTTCTTTCTCCATTTTCTTCTACCATTCACCGTCCTCCTCCTCCCACTACCATTTTTTTTTTCAGTTGTTTTCTTTTTTTATTTTTGTCAGTGCAAAAGAACAATACTTCTTGATACTGCTTTGATGAATACATGTTGATATGTTTGAACTGTGAAGTGTTTCAATTGGAATTTATGCTGAATCTCTATGTTTTTGTTTTTTGTGTGCGGTTGGTTATGTTCTGAGTTGTATGCAGTCTCTTGATTCCTTGAATTAGAGAGGAATGAGTTTGTGAGGCACATATTTTCTCAGTTTTTCTGTTTGCTGATAATAATTAACAATCTTGCAAGTCATACTTGATGAAAATGGGAACTGAATTTCTGCTCTTATGTGAACTTCTTGTTATTTTCCTGAAATTATTGGCTGAAAGTAATGTTCACCATAATGCATTTATGTGCGTAAGTAGAATTTGCATTTTCCAGATCGAGTGGCACTATAAGAAAACCATGTCCATGGATTATGATCAGTGTGTGTACTGTAAAATTTGTACTTTCCAGTTGGACTGACATGAAGAAGAGACCCCATTAGTGTGTCAAGTTAGGACCATAATGTAGGAGTAGTTGTGAGAAGGGTGGCATAGAACTAACATTTCATTAAAAACCATCAATGTTTGTTGTCCGAACTTAATTGTAAGAATGTGATTTGAACTGAAAGATCGGTCCTTGTAATGCCAACATGTCATTTACTAGAAGTAGAAAATGAGGTAACAAATGATGATGTCCGGAAGATTACTATTTCATAATTTTGGCAACTTAAAAGAGTTAAAGTCAGGGTAAAGGTAGGTCCAATTTTAAATTTTTTGCTTAAAATGACAAATTAGATGGTGTAGGAACACAGTTTCTCTTAAATAAATGTCAATCTCACTGGAACAATTATCTGTAAACATAACCATTCATGCATCATTTTGACCTACTATTTTTTTCATTTGAAATAGTATTTAACAAGATATGGAAATCTAGCAAAGGCACATGATGTGGGCCAAATCCAAAATCGAAAGTAGCAAAATAGTTTTTAAAAAATGTACGGTAAGTGTGGCAAATAGATCTGGGAATTTTCTGGAGAAATGAGCCCATACAATTCAGACTGAATCATGAACATTGTTTTTAAAGCTCTAGTGGACACCAATTAAATGCAAATTATACAGACAGTTTGATTTCTTGCAGTTCTATTTCCCCTTGACAATTCACTTTATTTTGATTTTGTAATTAGCCATACCTCTCTGGTAGAAGAGTTTGTACAATTAACAAACAAAAAAAAAATAGCGCTTAGTTGCAGAAATAATTGGGCCTGCAATATAACTAGAAGATTCATAAATGGTCGGTGACAGAGTTTGCTGTCTGACATGAGACCAAAAGGTGGTCAGAACAAATTGTGTGGTTTTAAGAATCTAATACCAACCACACCTTTGTAGATGAGTCCTTTGACAGATATATAGGTCTCTTAGTTATTTGAAAATAGATTTTATGGTCTTCCTTTCTACCGGATTTGTGGATCAATTTTCTTTCTTTCTTTACATCCATGAAAGGGGAAGAGCTGCACTGTCATATCAGCAACATTGAAGGAGCATAGAATTAGCACCACAAGGAGGATAGTATAGAACAATAATGTATTGTTATAATTTCTGAGAGATCTTCATAACGCTTAGACCTGCTGAACTTGGTCTCCAATGGTACTTTCAATATTGTTCTACCTTTCTTATGTTCTGGCATACTATTCGCTATACATATCTCAACTTCTCCAATTCAGTACAACTGTTCTTTAAGCTTTTTTTTTGTAAGTGAACTCTAAAATTTCTTCATAATCCAAATTCCAAAAATGAGAAGACGGGCGATTAACTAGATTGAGGTTTGATAAAGAGGTTCAGTATGCCTAGTCCTACTTTTAAAGCATATTTTATGTTTGATATCTTGATTCTTTAACATTTGTTTTACATGGTTCTCATTGTTCTTTCAATCAAGAGAGCAGGCTCGCCTTTATATTTACTAAATCCATTTTCTTCAGTTGAACTAATTTTCAATCAAGAGAAGTATATGACATAATAGGTGTGATGCAATACTTCTTGTATGATTTTAAGTACTTTTACGAAAGTAAATGCCAATCTTTTAATCATAAATTTTTGTATCCTTGCTCTTTAGGGAACTCTTGCGATGTTCAGCTGATGTTATACGTTTGCTAAATTTGTACTCAACACGGTTTCATTAGGCACTTCTTTTAAATTTGATTTGTATTCTGATATTGCTACTTCTTTTCTTGCCATCAATTCTCAGAACGATGAAATGCCTATTGGATGGCCATTTGGTCTTGGCATTTTGAATACCAGACTTAGAGATGTAGAATCACCAACTGCTCCAGTAGAGCCACACTCAATGCACATTCCGTCCACCAGTTTTTCCTCGTTCTCATCCTCCAACCTTGATACTGAGGTAATCTGAATTCACTGATCCTATTTTTCTTTCTTTCCCACCGCCGATTGAATATAAGGGTTTTTCTCATTTCATTAAATGAAAATAACTATGGAACAAATAGAAAGGATGCTAGAAACTAGTTAGTAGCAATAACAGAAGTTCATAGTTAAATTTGAACTATCTAAAGAAACTGTACTTCTGATCGAAGTGTACACAAATGAACATATTAACAACTTATTTCAATGCAATCATTAATAGAATATATGTTATTATGGATAGGTATTCTGTGCAAACCATGTGTGGCTGACATTTCTTTCCATGTTTTACTAAAGATGAGAGCGTGTCACAAGCCATCAACTTGCCACGATATTGATTTACACTTTTTAGCAAAAGGTTAATGTGGAGTTTAAATTTGTGAGAACTATGAATTTCCCAAAGTAATGTATTTCATATAGATCCTCAGAGGCATAGGAGGACCTACATACAGTTGAGGGTAGGCAAATGTACCCTCTCATCTAGAGAAAATTATAAGGGAAATCATTGTATATGTTTTGCTTCCCCTTCTATGATTTTCAACCCACTAAACACGTACTCAATTGTATTGTTTTAGTTAATAATGGAAAAGATTCATTAAAGAAGACAATGGAAAACTGTCCCCACTAAGGTTTTGAATTCAGCACTAGTAAGAGGCCATGTGAAATAAATGCTCCTTCTAACATTTTTCTTCTGTTGGAAAAACCAGTCCACAGCATCTTTCTTTCAAGACAACAGTGTATCCCTTGGCCATCTCATTGGATTGAGAGCAGGTGAAAAGGGACGCTTGTACTTCCCAAACTCATTAAGAATAGAAGAAAGGGAGGAGAAAACATTAGCAAATGGGTCCAGTTCTGATGATGCCTCTGAAGCAAAAGTGGATATGTCTCGGGGCATTTGTATACCTATACTATTTGAAGCCATACTCAAGATTAGCAAAAGTAAGAAAAGTTCAAGTAACTAGCATATGATGATGGTGTGGCACATTCAGTTGCCTTGCCTCTAGTTCAAATTAACAACAATGATTTTTCTTTCTTTCATTTGAGGCTGATTTTCTTAAATGATCCATTTAAACTTTCACAAGATTATCTGTTGTAACTTTGTTTTATTTCAGACTATGAAAATATAATCAAAAAAATGGAGTTGAGTGTATTTTATTATTCTGCCCTTTTAGCAGCTTTCTTCCCGAGAACGAGTACATTGCATACCCATTAAATTATTCTGCACTACCTGTGATCTTGCCAACTTTAATTTTGAGTTAGTTGAAAAGTTAGTGCTCCAACCATAGATATCGTGTACATAATTACATAGATGTTGATATATTGGCAAGTGAAGCAAAGTTACATAATAGCAGCAAAATTATGATTTCATTATTCTCGTGAAGTATTATTAGTTCACAAGTCCCAATTTTTCACACCCCTCTCACCATCCCTCAAGACTCTCCCTATAGTTGCAATCTTCATCAAGAGGAAAAGACACATGAAATAAGTTAGCTTTATCTATCAAGTGAGAGTCACTTTCACTACACTCCCTTCACATTTCTCGTCTGTGTCTCCCTACATCTCAATTTTTTGCTACTGTTTTTCTTCCTGAACTTTCTATGCTTGTTTTTTGGGATATCCTACTACAGATGAGTACAGAAGAGTAGTTTTTTCTCTCCTTTCTAAATTCATTAGTCAGCGCTATTCAGATATCATTATAAATTACTTATATTTGTTATCTTCTGAACAAATTATAATTTATAACTGTGGTTCCTTATTTTAGATATTCCTCATTCGACATACTTCATCTTTTTTCCTCCTAATGAAAAATTATTATATATGTGTATTTAAATCTGTGATTTTACAAACCAAATCTGGCCCACTAGGCAGGATTGAGTAGTCTCTTTTTGTTTAGACCTAAATTTTAGAAAATGAATAAAACTTCAACCATACATTATTTAGTTCGTCCCATTAGATCAACATCAATTTGCCACATCTAACTTTTGTTTTTCTTTTGACAGCAAGCTCTAACCTTTATTAAACAGTCAAAGATTGTTTCTTAAGTAAAGAGATTATCGAAACGAGTACAGTTCATCCATTTAATAAAATTTCAATCTTATATGTATTTAACCTATTAACTTCACAATGTCTTCATCAATATCAACTTAAAGATATCCTAATTAATGTAAGAGAATAAGTTAAAAATGTTTTTAGTCTAAGGCCAAATTATCATGAATTCACCAAGATAGAATTGATGATATCCTCGCTGAAACTAAAATAATGATGTTTCAATTGAGATAAATTTAATAATGTATACTAATGACGTCTTAATTGAGTTTGAGTATAAAATTCTTTGATTAAATTTGAGTTGGTGATATCTTTAAAAGATTAAGTTTAAGATAAGCAGTGAGTTGATGATATTTCAATCTATGTTAAATTAGCTATTTTTTGATAGAGACTTAACTAAATATGTTCATAATCAATCTTAAATCGATGATGTCTCAGGTGAGAGGATAATGTTTCTACAAGATTGAGTTAACGATACTACTTGACCGAGATCAAATGAATAATATCTTTATTGATATTGATTCAACACTATCTTAGTTAAGATGAAGATAAAAATATCTTAAATTATTTTTATTTTTTTATAATTATTGGATTAAATTATTTGTCTTGTAGATAAACTGAAGGAACATATATAAATATATTGGTTTGACACCCAAATTATAATCCATATTTTTTGTTAATCAAATTATCTATCAATTTACATTTTGAGTCTTCGTTCCAAAAAAAAAAAAAAAAGTTAAATTTTAAGTTTTTTTTACCAAATGATGATAAGGGAAAAGAGAGAGGAGTCAGGTAAGGTAAAAAGTTTCAGATCAGACACAAAACCAATAACACTTCTGTATTTATACTTTTTGCTGAAATTAGTACTGTCCGTTTCAGCACCACCATTGCGACAACTCCAAACTTAAAGCCCGAAATAAAGAAGCCCAGACCCATAACTCCCATGCCCAGGGCAAGACCGGCCCGGTATTTTGGTTTTGGATCATAATGATAAATATTTATTTTTGTATAACTAAAATTTATGTAATAATAAATATTTTTAATTTATAAATACATATTACGTTGAAAAATAAAATAGTGATGTGAAATTATTTTAATGATTGATAATTTTTTAAAAATTATTTAAAGTATAGATATTAAGATAAAACGGTAGAATGAAAGAAATAAATAATTGGAAATATAGAAATGGTCATAGAGTACTTTCGTGTGGGATGCTTTTGAATATAAGATTATGGTCAAATGTGTGTTTAAGTAAAACTATAAAAAGAAAGTGAATGTTGTTTTAAGCATATTCATATTAATAGTTTAGTTTAGTTTAGAAAATCTAGTTTAGTACAAGTTGTAAAAACTTTTATACTTTATTTTAAACAAAATATAGTTTAACGGCTTTTAATAGTTCAGTTCACTTTATTTAAGTATAAAAACTATACTTTTCTGAACTACTAAATAATTTCATTTAGTTCATGATTTAAAATAAATAGTTGGGTCTAGTTTTAAAGAATTATTTTTTAGTTCAATTTATTATATATTTTTTATTTGAAAAAAATATATTTAATTTACAAACTTTAGAATTACACGTTATCAAAAACAAGTATTCTTAAATACATTCAAATAATTTATTTTTTATGTTTAAATATTATTATATTTCAGTTTTGATTTTAACATTAAATATTTTATCAAAAAAATTATGTTTATTTTTATTTTAAAAAATAAGCATTAAATTATTATAACTTATGTGTTAATATCTCAATTAAAAATATATGATATCAGATGAATATATTTTTTTCCCATAACTTCATATTAATTTTAATCAATCTACAAATGTTACATATTTATTTAAAAAAACATATTCTGATTAATAAGTTTTATTTACCAATATATATAGTTTAATAAACATAAATCGAAGTAGAACAAAAGGTGCGTCTTTTCTTTTTCTTTTTCTTCATTGGAGATGAAATTTGTACATAAATTAAGAAAAATGGATGAGTGAATATTGAGTATGGAAGAACAGGTGAAATAAAATAACAGAGAGAAAGATGAACACAATTGTTTTTGTGGTATGTGTGTAAGTACAATAATAATGTATTAACTCTACTCTGCTACCAAACTCGAATACCTTTCAATTTCAATATAGATGTTGATAAAGACCTACAAACAAACCGAGAATAATCTTGCATTTCGCTCTCAATTAATTTTTAAACATTGACTCGATGTTTTTCTACCAACATTACATCAAAAGTGAAACTAAAATCGAATTAAATATTTTCAAATTACTTAAGTGCATAATTAAATTGAGAAAGTCTTGTAGCAAAAATAGAGTAGAATAAAAGAGAAGAAGCAAAGAAGGGGAAATTGTGATAACCGCATAATAAGCAAAGGAAAACATTACCGACCAAACCAAACGTGTGTATATCTCAAGACAAACTCTGACAACTCCTCTCATTTGTTTAATCTCAAGTTTGATGCTAACCACAAAACAAACGCGCCTCGCTCCATTACAGTCGGCAATTCTGAAACTCTTGGAAAAAGTCAAATCATTTTCCCAAAACAATATTAAACTCTGTTTTATTTTTCATTTTTTTCTCAAGCTTAGGACCTGAGATCACGTTGCATCTCAAATATTTTCATTCATTAGAGAAGGAAAAGAAAAAAAAAAAAAACAAAGAAGCAAGTGTTCGTTGAATCTGTTGGAAGTGGTGATTTGATTTGATTTGATTTATTTACATAACCCCTTTATCAATTCATCTCTTCGATCTTTCAATGGATTCTGACTTCTGGACTTCGCGTCTTGCCGCCGCCAAACGCCAATATACGCTTCAGCATCACCATCAAAATTCTCATTTAGGTTCGGGTTGGCGATTCCCTTTTCAATTTTTGCTGAACAATGTTTTCTGGGTTCGATCAAAATATGAATTTTTTTTTTCTAATTTTTAACATCTGGGGTGTGTCAGATCGGTTGGGAATTGATGATTTTGATGTGGAAGAAGAGGTGCGACCCGATTTCCCGTGCCCCTATTGTTATGAAGACTTTGACATCGCATCTCTGTGTTCTCATCTTGAAGACGAACATTCTTATGAATCAGGAGTCACGGTACGAGGCTGTTCTTTTTTTCTTATGTCATTTCCTTACCGTTAAATTTCTGTTATATTCCTCTATGATGTCTGTTAAAGCTAGATCTTCGTTTCTTTATCCTAGAGAAATTGGTGGCCTTGATAGCGAAGTTGTGGGAAGATTAATATTTCTTTGGAAGCATGTTGGCATGGTTTAAAACCTATAGAGATTTGAATTTTATATAACAAAGTAAGGACATATGCTAAGTTATCGATGTTTAGGATGTTGGACTAGTAATCTGCTGTAGGTCTTGACATGGTCTTACCTGTTGATTGACCTGAACATGAGTCATGATGATAAGAGAAGTTTGGTGGTATCCTTGGTTGTCTTCTGTTTCTCGCCCTCAGTTGGTACTATTTAGCCATTATGTTTCTAGACAATCGAGGATTCAAAGGAAAATTTGATAGAAAGAATAGAGGGTTCAAGGGAAAAATCAAGAGGGCTTTATCTCATTCTGTGTGCATGTCTGCATGTGCACACGTGTGTGCTTGCATATATGTCTGGTGAGTTTGCAGAATATGTTTGAAAGAACCATATAAAAAAATCATAGGAGTTTAAAGAATACATAACAATGAACTATGTAAAGGAAAATCTAAAGGCTGAAGATCAATTATTAGCAAGTCCTTTTTTGTTGTTACTTTATATCACCGCCTGAATGATTGATTTAACTGTATCTGGATATGGTAGTCTCATGCTTGGTTTTTCTGGGATGCAGATTTGTTCCATATGCTCCGTTAAAGTAGCAAGGGACATGTTAAGTCACATAACGCTGCAACATGGGCACTTATTTAAGATATCCTTTTACACCGATGTTTTGTTTGAATGTTGTTAGTTAGCCTGTTCAAATAGTAAGAATTGAAAAACTTAAATTGATTCCCTTGACTTGGATTACGTTCAGAGAAGACGCAGGTTAAGAAGAGTTGCTATTCCAAACAGTCAGACATTGTCTCTCTTGGGCAGAGATCTTCGTGAGGCTCATCTACAGGTGCTTCTTGGTGCTGGTGCTGGTGCATACCGGTCAAATAGTGCAGCAGTGTCTAATGTTGCTACTGATCCCTTTCTATCCTCATTTATTTTGAATTTCCCGTCCTGTGAAGCCGAAGAAATTTCAAAATCTGTGGTAACAAGTGCTGAGGATTCTTCTGCCAAAAATGTGACACCTGAACATATTTGGAAATCGAGGTGCTTTTTCATGAATTTTGGCTCCCTTAGCAGTATTCAATAAAACGACATTTTGATGTTCAATCCCTCACTAATTAACACACATGTGTCTATTCAAACCCTAGTGATGAGTCATTCTCCTCTATATGATGTCCATCCCATGCATTATTTATATTAACAAAAAGCATAAGAATGTCTCAAATATTGGCTCTGCTACTAAATAGTAATCTCCTTTCTCTATTTTTTTCCTATTCATCGAGGAACAAATACTACTTCACTTTATCTGTGTAGATAAACTGGACCAATTATTCAGGCATAGTATGCACGCTTAATCATATTTATGAAAGAATGACCTGTGAATCACAACTTTGATCTGTCTCTTCCTACAGTTTTGACCCCTCGTTGAGTACCGAAGAACGAGAGAAAAGGATGAGACAAGCCGCTGGGAGATCTGGTTTTGTGCAGGACTTGTTTCTTTCAACTCTGTTAGGCGACTAATTGCAAGGTGCTTACAGAAGAATAATCAACATGAGATCCACCATGGTTAAGGATCTTGAATGAAGGACACCTTTAGTGGGACGAATGGTTGTTTGACAATACATGTTAGCCTAATTGGCATATTGTCACAGCGGCACTTTGACATGGTGCTGAATCTGATCATATTTATCCATTTCCCACCCTTGTAAGTTGTAAGCATCTTCAGTGGAGACGTATTACTCTAGAAATTATGGAAAGACCTATTTTGTTATATTTCCATTTATGATTCCCTTGACTCAGAGAACACAAGGATGTCCCTTATTCAAGTGGAATATGTGAAAATTTCTCTTTTAGATAGATTGGAAAAAACAGTTCAAACTAATGTATTCCAGTAACTATTCTGCTTTGCACCATGAATACGTATTTGGAATTTGCATTAATCAGATTATTTTTGAAAAAACCAATCACCTTTTTGTAACTTACTTAAAACAAAATTTCTCCTGTAGTTTCTATTTCCCATACATGCACTAAATGCAAAATATTGATGCCCCAGATAATAAAATTGATTTGTCTAAATGCACTAACCTGTTTATCGGTTGTCATTTAGGCATGACATGTTGAATTCGCAATGTTTGTTTATCCTATTGTTAATAGGATTCTCCTTGCCTTCAAATCAACTTTGACCTTCAAGCCTTCTTCTAGTTTATAATTTTAGTACCCTGTGTTATGTTATGATTTTAGTTAACCCCATAATTTATAATCAGCTATATTCAACAAATAATAACTTATAATTAATAGACTATGATTGACGAGTGATAGTAATGGGACTATTTTAGAATCCATTAAAACTCAGCTAATATTCAAATTTTGAGAACCGTTCAACTGGTGGAAACTCGTTAATTCCTTGATTAACTCCGTGTACAGACAAAGCACAGGCGAAGTAGCCGAGGACAAGTGTTATTATTGACTTTAAAATTCACAATTTGCTCTTAAATCTTTCAATTTTCATTATGTTTTTTGGGGTCAACGTAATGTTTCTAAATAGTTATTAGCTTAGATATATGCAAATACATAGTATTAATAAACACCTTATCTATCAAAGTTGAATATAAATATAAAACAACTTTCTTCTTCGTAATCTCTCCTCATCAGTCATGAAATTTTTTTTTCTTTTATCTTTGTATTCCTATAAATTAAAATTGAGAAACATCAAAGTTAAATAAAATCATTGATATTTCGTCTCTTTCTAAAATGTCCTCATACTTTATAAAATTGTTGCTCTAAATATTACTATCAATCATAGATAACTTATATACAATAAAAACATAAAACAAAATTATTACATAAACATACAAGAAATTTAATAAAAAAAGTCATATTCATATATGCTACTAAATAATGTTATATTGAAATTTAAAAATAAGTACATGAAGAATAAGACTATCATCATACTCACATATAATATACAGCTCTTTTGTTACAACTACCAGAAGAATTAGCATCTTAGTTTGACTTTACATTTTACATTTTTAACTCAGAAGCAATATCTGTGCAACACAGAAATGAAGAAATTCTTAGAAGAAAAGTTCTTAGAATAATATTTATCTTCCAACAACAATAATTATGGCATGTATTTGCATTTACACTATCTTTATTGCACCAATATAACAAAACACGCGGTTTTCAACTAATAAGGAACCTAGATTAACCAGATATTTCAATGGCTTTCACATCAGGCTTCTTAACCTCTGTTTTGGGAACAGTGACAGTGAGAACCCCATTTTCCATTGAAGCCTTCACTTCCTCCACCTTTGCATTCTCCGGCAATCTTAACCGCCTCAAGAACTTTCCGCTGCTACGCTCCACGCGATGCCATCTATCGTTCTTATCTTCTTTCTCCACGTTCCTCTCGCCGCTTATCTGAAGAACCTTATCATCTTCAACCTCCACCTTCACTTCCTCCTTCTTCAGCCCCGGAAGATCAGCCTGGAACACGTGTGCCTCTGGAGTCTCTTTCCAGTCCACACGAGTGCTCACAAATGCAGAACTTTCCCGAGAAAATTCAGGGAAGGAATTAGAAAGAGAATTGGGGAAAGGAAAATCCCTGAAGGGATCCCAGACGTCCAAGGAGAAAGGATCAAAGACATTGCTCTTTCGACCACCGAAGAAACTTGGAATTAGCGACATGTTTATAAAACTTGGCAAAGATCCAAAACGTAGTTGATTGTAGTGAGATCTAAACAGGTAACACTTTTCTTGTTTGATGATGTTGGAGGAACTGATGCATATTTATAGGAAGTGAAAGGATAAGGTAGTATATTCCAGAACGTTCGGTCTCACTTTGGTGTTGTGGATGATTCCAAAACCTTCTCCACTTATCCACAATTGCTGAGAAGGTTCTAGTATTCTGTTTATCACTCAGTCTATATTTTTATTCATAATATTCTATTAGTCCACATTACCATATAACGAATAAAACCCAGCAACAAAACTCTGCAATAAAAAAATAAAAAAGTAAAGTATTTTTACAAATGTAAGAGAAAAATTTATAAAAAAATATGTTTTCAAATAAATTAAAATTTTAGTTATTTACATGAAAAAAATTAAAATTATACAAAACATTTTGCATTCAATATTCTTTATTTTTTTCTTATCATCTAATATTTATTTAAAAAAAAACTTGTGTTATAGAAACTATTTAGTTGTAATAGATTCAAATGAGGTAACTTTTTTTTTCTTTGTTAATTTTTACATATATTAATATTTATTTATGTTTTATAAATAGTGGTATATAACTATAGGTTGAATTTAGTGTTATTTTTAAGTCAATTTAATTAAATTTATTTGAGTAATTAAACTTTTTTATCCTTCAAATGATTTAAAAATGATACAGATAAAAAAGATCTTTCATTTGAGTTTTAATAATTTTCTTAATTTTGGTGGTTGAGGTAAAATTTGGAGACACCCAAATAATATCTAGCGCAAGCATAAAATTTATCAAAAAGTATTATCAAAGTGATGATAAAAACATTTTATTATCATCTATAATAAATTATTTCATTAAAATAATAATTAATATGCATAATACGGACCAATATAAAAAAATATATAAAAGACTAAATCATTTTTTTAAAGTTCATCAAATCACTAAATCGGTAAAATGAATTTAGAATTAAAAAATTTAAATGAGATTTAATAAACAAATTTATAATATTATTTTTTAGTAAATAATATATATTATGTACAAAATAATTTTATTAATTTTTAAAGTTATCAATAAAATTATCATTATTGTCATCATAAATTATAATAAATATTAAAAATATTATAAAAGATAAAAGGCTGATCCTTTATGAATAAATACAAATATAATAAAACAATTATTATTAAATGTCAACGTGTATTATATCAGAAAAGAAAAAAAGTATATATGAATATATTACACCTTTTAAAAAAATCTTCTAAAATAATTACAAAATGTCAAAATAATTAGACTAAAAAATATAAATAATTTTATTAATTTTTCTGCTTTTATATTAATTAAATTAAATTTTAACGAATTAATTTTCAACATTAAATGGATTAAATTATATTGATCTGAATTTTACATAATTATGTCATAAATAATATATTTAAAAATTATATATCTAAAACTATAAGTAAAATTATTATTTTAAAAAATGAAACTTTATTGATAAATGTAAATTGATAAACTTAATCTAATACCTTATTAAAAAAAAATAGCCACAAGAAATCAATGTTAATTTGAAGATGCACTTCCTTGTGTTTTAAAAATGTAAGAATAATATATGTATTAATCCTTAAATATATATATATATATATATATATATATATATATATATATATATATATATATAGAAATTTTATCCAAATATAAAAAGAAAAAACTCAAATATACTATTTGCTTTTTCTTTTTTCACTGTAACTAAACACGGTTATAAATCAGAATTCGATTCTTAGAAGATTGAATCCTGAATCTCCTTTTGTTGTCACACTTTGTAATTCTTAATACAAAAGAATTAGACTTAATTCTGTATAAAACAAATATTTTATTTATTTTTTATTTATAGGTCTATTATATAATTTATTTTTTATAAAATTATTATTTTTAAGTGTTACCAAAATCTTTTACATAATCGTTATCATATATTTTTCTTTATACCGTTTAGTCAGTCACCGTAAAAAAAAAAATTTGAAGTTTTATTCACTACTCTCTATGTATAACTAGTATTTTACCATTAAATTTTTAGTCATGATAATGTTTGAATTATTATCGCACCACAAAACAATAGTTTATTTTTCATATCGTTTAATTTTTTTCAAAACTTTTTAAAGTCTATAAACAACATCAAATTTCTTGAAAGTAAATTATTACAGAAAATCAAATTTATTCTAATTATAATGAAGTAAAAGAAAACATCTAACTAAACTTTTAGATATATATGAGTTTTTCTATCACCATCATTTTTAAGATTTTTTTTATTTACATAAAAAGAAATTGAATATAACCTCCCAATTTAATATTTTAGCAAATTATTGACATATTATTATTTTTGAAAGAAATATTTCAACATCAAATTGATATATTTTCGTTTGTAATTAAAATATGACTATATATTGTATATCATTATTAGGAATATTCATATTTAGAAACAAGTGTTTATTGATTTACATTCATTCTTCTTGAAATGTTATTATCACACATTTAGACCTTATTAATTTTAAAATAGTGCAACCATAATCTCAAAAGAGAGTATATTAGTTCAATCACATCAAATAATTTATAATGTAAGTATAGAATCAATAAAATATAGTGAATAAATTCAAAACTTTCTTTTTGGTGTGAACAAAAATCACACCTCTCCTATTTCAAGTTTTACTTTGATTTAGACAAATCTATCAAAGAGAGGAAGATATTAAATCCATTACCATGAGTGATCGATCATATACAAGTGATTTGCATAATGTTTCCTAGATATACACGTTGTGATTAGGTTTAATTAATCTTAACTTCTTTGTATTTAATTCACTATAATTTTACTTTCTTTTTCTTTTCTAATCATCTATAATTTATAGTTCAATTATCCTTTTATTACCTTCCTTTATATTTAGTTTGAAATGTACCTTTAATTATTCTTCAGAACCTTTACTCTTTACTCTAAAGCTTATAATTTACTAATCATCTAAAAAATTTTACTTCAAATTTTTATAATTTAATCAATTTTTTTTCCTATGATCTAATTCAGTTTACCAAATGGTACAAGTACTACTTAACTATCTCATCCTCCTTTATTAGTAACATTTCAAAAAAATTTAAATATTAAAACTTAATTAATTTTTCTATTTCATCACTAATGAAAAATATCCTCTTTATCAAAAATGTCAAAAACTACTCCTTAAACTTTTTTATGCTAAACTTTACTCCCATTTTTTTTTACTGAAAGCTTACAATAATATATTGTGTTGCTCTAAATATCACTCTTAACACAGGGGTGATTTATATTATAAAAATATAAAATAAAATTATGACATGAAAATAGAAAAAATAATAATAAAAAAAATAGAATAATGTTTATATTTACTAGTGAATCACTTACACATTTTATAAGAAATAAATCATATATATGCTATATTTAAAGTACAAATGTATGCAAAATCAAAATAAATTAATTACGCATGACCCAAAAAATAATAACTGCAATTACAACAATAAAAAGGAAAAAAATTGAGGCAACTTTTACAAACTCACGACCGAGCAAATTATAACTTGCTCTAGTCTTATTCTCTGTGTGAACTTTCAACAGAAAAATGGTTGCAGCCTCTTAGAAAATTCCTTAGCTTGAATTTGCATTTTTTTGTATATTTGGAGTAATTGCACAGGTACAAAGAGATATGAAGAAATTCTGAGATATTCTAAGAAACCAAGCTCATAACAGATATTTTTTTTGTCAAAAACCATAGCTCTTGCATTTACACTATCTCTGTTGTCACAGAACAGTACACACAATCTTCTCAACAAAAACAAAACAGTGAAAATTCGACTTTCAACGAAGTAACTCAGCTTAACCAGAAATTTCAATGGCCTTGACATCAGGCTTCTTAACCTCTTCCTTGGGAACAGTGACAGTGAGAATCCCATTTTCCATTGAAGCCTTCACTTCCTCCACTTTTGCATTCTCCGGCAATCTGAACCTCCTCATAAACTTTCCGCTGCTACGCTCCACACGGTGCGGTCACTATAAGAAAAACCCTAAATAGTGACTGAAAATTCGATCACTAAATGTGCAAAATCGGTTACTAATTAAAATAGTGACCAACTGGAATCAATCACTATTTCCTTGGTCACTGATTTTAGTGACCGATTATATATAACCAAATCGGTCATTAAATCAATGAAAAATTTAATTATTTTTATTATATCTATTATTTATTTTCCTTATCTCTTAATTATATTTTGCTTATTTAAGTTTTTATTTATATTATATTTTTTAGAAGTTTAACTTATTATTAGGTGATTTATTGTCATTATCAATAGGATTCGAACCCAGTACCTTAGAGTTGGAGGTGAAACTCCAACCACTGAGACTACTTAGGATATTTTAATAATAACTTACAAATAAATTATATTTATATACAAATAAATGTATATCCGTATAAATATATAAATATAAAATCTATAAATAAAAATATATTTATATATTTTAATATATATTTAAATATTTAAATATTGATATATTTATATATTGATATATTTATATATTGATATATTTATATCTTTATATTTTTACATATATTTATATTTTTATATATTTATATCTTCATATTTTTACATATATTTATATCTTTTCATATTTATATATAAAGATATTAGTTTTCTATACAAATAATATTATAATATAGTAAAAATATATTTATATCTTTTCATATTTATATATAAAGATATTAGTTTTCTATACAAATAATATTATAATATAGTATATTATACTATTAGTATAGTATACAAATAATATATTAGTATAGTATAGTATACAAATTATTAATTTTGTAATTTATATACAATGAAAATAATATAATGGTATATTAGTATAGTATAGTATATTTGTATTCTAATTTTTCTTAAATTTATTAGAAAAAGGTTTAAAAACTAGTATTATCTTAACTAATATTAGAAAAAGGTTTAAAATGTTAGTATAGTATAGTATAGTCAATATTCTTAACTAATTTATAGTTTTAATTATAATTTTTTAGTATATATTTTGAAATTAATCAATTTTAATCTATTATTTGAAAAACTAATCAATTCTAATCAATAATTTAGAAAACTAATCGATTATAATTAATTATTTGAAAAAATTATCAAATATGATCGATCATTTCGAAAATCTAATCGATCAGAATCAGATGTCGCTCGAGCGATACTAGACTCGCTCAAGCTGAAATACAACCCGAGAATGCCAATTTTGTGCGAGGGCGTTTCGCTCGAGCGAGAAGCTTGTCGCTCAAGCGAGATACGATTTAGATAGCGGTTACACAGAACCGCTCTTAAAATCTAACTTAGATAGCGGTTAACCCTTGAACCGCTATTATATGGTTTCATTATGATCGGTCGAATGCAATTATGACCGATCATAATGAAAACTTACATTAACTATTTTTTTATATTATGTTTTTAAATTTTTTATTAGAGAAAACCTTTCGTAATTCAAAATGTTAAATACTTTTAAATATTAAAATTAACTTTATCAAAAATTAGGGAAAAAAATTAATCCAAAAGAGTTCAAAAATGTATTATAATATTGTCAATTTTGAGTTTAATTATATTGTTCATTCTCAAAGTAGAAAAATATATTGTAATTATTTTAATTTAATAAAATATAATTTAAATTTTTAATACTAAAATTAAAAGATTAAATAATAATAAATTTAATTCTTTAAATTCGAGTAGCTAGAAAGTAAAATTATAGTTTCTTTGTTTTAAATAATTAAAATAAATATTTAAAAATAAAAATCAAAACTAGTATTATCTTAAATTTATTAAAAGTGTAATTAAATATTTATTTTCTTAATTTTATTTGTTTCAAACTTCTCAATTCTACATTTTTGTAAGTTCTATCATTATATTATCATCCTCATCTCCTCCCATGTTCTACTTTATCTTTACAATAGTCAATATTCTTAACTAATTTATAGTTTTAATTATAATTTTTTAGTATATATTTCGAAATTAATCAATTCTAATCTATTATTTGAAAAACTAATCAATTCTAATCAATAATTTAGAAAACTAATCGATTATAATTAATTATTTGAAAAAATTATCAAATATGATCGATCATTTCGAAAATCTAATCAATCAGAATCAAATATCGCTCGAAGCGACTCTAGACTCGCTCAAGCGAAATACAACCCGAGAGTACTAATTTTGTGCAGTGGCGTTTCGCTCGAGCGAGAAGGTTGTCGCTCAAACGAGATACAGTTTAGATAGCGGTTACACAGAACCGCTCTTAAAATCTTACTTAGATAACGGTTAACCTGGAACCGCTATTATATCGTTTCAATTATGATCGATCAGAATGCAGTTATGACCGATCACAACTGTTTTAATCGATTAAATCTCGTTTCAATCGATTAAAACAATTTCTGCACAGCGTTTTAATCGATTAAAACTTATTTTTATCAGTTAAAAATTTATACACAGCGTTTTATATGATAGCGATTTCACTGGAATCACTCTTAAAAGAGAACTTCTAATAGCGGTTGCACCATCGCTCGAGCGAAAATAGAATCGCTCAAGCGAAATACAACCCGAGAATGCCAATTTTGTGCAGGGGGCGTTTTGCTCGAGCGAGAAGACTGTCGCTCAAGCGAAGTACATTTTAGATAGCGGTTAACCTGGAACCGCTATTATATCGTTTCAATTATGATCGATCAGAATGCAATTATGACCGATCAGAACTCTTTTAATCGATTAATTCTGGTTTCAATCGATTAAAACAATTTCTGCACAAGCGTTTTAATCGATTAAAACTTATTTTTATCAGTTAAAATAACTTGAAAAGTTTTACAAGAAAGTTTTGCAATATTTCAATCGATTGAATCGCGAAACAATCGATTAAATGAACTTAGAAGATTTTTTGTAAAGTGTTTATTGTCGCCACAGTTGCAGGTCGCTTGGATTCAAGGTGGTTGAGGTTTGGGTTAGGGTTCGAGGTCAGCTAGGTTTGCGTTGAGTTTGACCGCACGACGACTGGAGTTTGGCTTCAGATTAGGGTTCGATGCTGCCAGAGATGGGTTTGGGCCTCAAGTTCGTCGAATTCGTCGAGGTTGAGGTTGAGATTGAGTTTGGAATTCGCTTGGGGATGGACAAATGAAGGGTCTAGGTTAAGCTCGAACAAGTATGCTCGCATGTTGTTTTGTTTTCTGCTGCGAACTAGGATCGCTCACCAACTAGGTCCGATTTGAGCAATAATTTTTGCGAACATATTACCCATATTTGGGGACAAGAGGCGGAACAACCTCTCGATCCGCTTAGTGCAACCCGAGAATAAAAATGTCGGTTAATGCACGAAAAAGATAAAGAAAATGAAGAAATACGCAAAGAAGATGAAGAAAATTTAGAGTGCAAAAATGAAATTTTCGTATCTAGGTCAGATCCTACAATGCTAAAAAAATAAAAATTACCATAAAAAAACAAAAATAATTACATAAATTAAATATAGATTAATTAAAAAAATAAATTAAATAATAAAACGACTGAAATAATAACCGATTTTATATGACCGAAAATTTGGTTATTATTTTAATTACTAGACTAAAAAATAATAATTTGATTATTAATTCGGTTAATGATACTAACTAAATTTCAGTCACTGATTTCGATTTCTATATGTCATTTTTTCTAGTAGTGCGTTTATCCTTCTGATCTTCCTTCTCAACGTTCCTCTCTCCGCTTATCTGAAGAACCTTATCATCTTCTATCTCTACTTTCACTTCTTCCTTTTTCAACCCGGGAATATCAGCTTTGAACACGTGTGCTTCTGAGGTCTCCTTCCAATCCACATGGGTGCTCACAAACGCAGAATTTTCCCGAGATAATTCAGGAAAGGAAGTAGAAAGAGAATTGGGGAAAGGAAAAACTTTGAAGGGATCCCAGACGTCCAAGGAGAAAGGATCAAATACGTTGCTCTTTCTACCACCAAAGATACTTGGAATTAGCGACATGCTTATAACACTAGGCAGAAATTTGAATACTTGAAAATTGTGGCAAGATCGTAAGAAGGTTACACTTTTCTTGTCAGATGATGTTCGTGAAACTGAAGCGGATATATATAGGAAGTGAAAGGATAACGTAGTATTTTCCAGAAAATTCTGGTTTGAGTTTGGTTGATTCTTTTCCAGTTTCTGATGATTCTATACATCCTTCTGGACGTACGCTCGCATCATGAAGAAGGTTCTAGTCTTTAATACAATAACTCACCAACAACTCTTTTATTAATAGAATAAAATAAAAATTTAGCTTTTTATGTTTATATATATCATCGTGTTTTTCTTTTATTATTATTAATATTATTTTGGTCACACAGCACAATATAATCAATTATAGTCCAACACCATAATTATGCAATGCCAATTAGACAATGAAAGTTTTCCCAATAATTTTTGTTAAATTGAATTAAATTATAAAAATTGAATTACTTTCATTAAAATTAAAATTAATAAAAGAATATAGTAGACAATTTAAACTAGTATGAGAGTTATTTATTTATACATGCAATACATTTTCTCGAAATTGCTTATTATTTTAGAACTAATTTTCAATGAAATTAAATATAAGTTATAATTTTAAAAAATATTATTTCGATATTAAAAATGCATCTCAATAAATTAATAATGACATTAGACTGTCTAAAAATGACAATACCTTGTATGCTACTTTGATGAAAAGTTTTTTATCATTAATTTTCTTATTAAGATTTTGATGTTTATATTAATTTATTACATACAATTTAATTTTAAAATATTGTTAATAAATGAAATCATATATGAATTTAAATTGAAAAAAATATAAAAGAAATAGTTTTTAATCAATCATATAAATAATATATTTTAAAAAAGTTATTTAAATAATATTTGTATCAACTTATTTATCAAATTAAACCTATTCATGATCATCTTTAAATAAAAAGAGATATATAAAACCACGTTTTACGTTTTGAACTTATTGAGTTTAAATTACTAGTTAAATAAATAAAATTTAAAGTTTAGAAATTTATTTTTATTATTCATTTTTAGAATACTATATTTGAAGTACCTATAATAAAAATTAAATATTATTTTTAAAATGTTGAAAAAAGTTAAAATTATGAATTTTCAATAATATTAAAATTATATAAATTATTATATTAAATTAATTTTGATTTAATTTTATTGAATGGAAACAACTCAAGTAAATAATTGAGAGTAAACAAAATTAGTTGAACATGAGACTTATTGGATCATTTTAGTGATATGACTTATTTATTGCAAGAAAGAGGGTTAAAAACTTTAAAAGATAACAAATGAAATAGAGTTGAAAATTTGTGTATGGTTATGTTATAGATTTAACAAACGTTAGAGTTTTTGGTTGTCTTGTCTTTACTTTCACTATTATTACTTGAAGAACAAAATTTGATAAAGGTGCCTCTAAAATTTTTTTTTTTTTCAAACCGGACACAAAAGGGTATGTTTTGTATGACATTATCAACAAGTCCTTTTTTATATCATGCAATGTTATTTTCTATTAATATCATTCCATATAAAGAACATTCATCCATCACACCTTTTCACAATACCTGCACCACTTTTTTTGATGACCTCATACCATTACATCATTACACAATGCATTCTTCTCGTGACAATAACATGCATAATCATGGTACATCTTTACCTAACGTTGACTCTCTTCCCCATAAATCCCCACATATCACTGAATCTATCTCAAAAGTTTCAACACGAACAAAGAAACCACCTTCATATTTGGTTGAATATCATTGTCCTACTATTGCATCTTCAAATGCCACTTGTAGCACTCCTTATCCCTTACATTCTTATCTTTCATATGCTAATTGTTCTCCTTCCCACACTATTTTTTATTTGTCTCTCTTTGATACTATTGATCCTACAACCTTTAAGGAGGCAACCCAATTAGACTACTAGTGGAAAGTTATGATGACTGAACTTCAAGTTCTAGATAGAAACAACACATGGTCACTGGTTAATCTTCCTCCAGGCAAGAAAGCTGTCAGTTGAAATGGGTTTACCAAACCAAATTTAAAGCGGATGGTTCTATTAAAAGATACAAGGCCAAATTGGTTGTTAAGGACTTCACACAAACAAAGGGGATAAATTTTTTGAAACATTTTCTCTTGTAATTATGATTACTACTGTTCAATTTCTGCTCTCGCTTGTTGTTTCCTCTAGCTAGTTTCTTCATCAACTAGATGTAGATAATGACTTCTTATATGGTGATCTTGTTAAAGAATTTTACATCAAACCCCCACAAGGACTACCTCTTGCTTCTTCTAAACTTATGTGCAAACTCCATAAATCTCTATATAGGTTAAGACAAGCAAGTATGCAATGAAATGTCAAACTCATATCTACTCTACTTAATTTTGATTTTGTTCAGAGTACAACAAGTTACTTTTTATTTGTCAAGCACACAACTAGTTCTTTTAGAACCCTCCTATTCTATGTTGATGACATAGTTATTACTTGGAATCACATTGGCATGATCACTAACATCAAAACATATCTTTACACGCAATTTCATATTAAGGATCTTGGTGATTTAAAGTATTTTTTGGGCTTTGAAGTAGCCCGATCCAAACGTGACTTAATCCTTAATCAACGCAAATGTTGTCTGGATATTCTTTTAGAATTTGGACTTACTAGGTACAAGTCACTGAATTCTCCAACCACCCCTTCAGTTAAACTCGTTGATAATGAGGGTGAACTCATCCCTAATCCCATCAATTTTAGAAGATTCATTGGTAAGCTATTGTACTTGATACATACCCATCCAGACATCAGCTTTGTTATCGAACAAATAAGTCAGTTTATGACTCAACCCATAACCCCTCACTTGCATATAACTTTTTGAATCTTTAGATACTTAAAAATTGCTCCTAAACAAAGTCTTAAAAATGGGCTACATGTAACATCACTCGAAGGTCCAGGTTATTGCATCTTTTATGGCAATTCCCTCATTGTTTCGAAGTAAAAAAAATTGAATACTATGTCCCACAATTCAACACAAGCATAATATTAGGCCTTAACCACTATGACTTATGAATTACAATAGTTGAAGTATGTTATTGATAATCTTTAGCTCATCATTCTTCTTCCTATCTGCACCTTCTGTAATAACTAATATGTCATCCAATTTACCAAAAATCATTCTTTTCATGAAAGAACCAAACATATAGAAGTAAATTGTCACTTCATACATAACAAAATTCTCGATGAATTGATTCTTTTATCTCATATTCCTTCTCAACACCAACTTGTCAATATATTCATTAAAACTTTATTTCTTACACATTTTACGGTTAACATATTCAAGATGATCCACTTTGAAAGAGGTATTAAAAATAATTTAATAATTAGTTGGTTATATTATATAAATAGTTGCACTATTATGTATTTATTTTTTCTTTTCTTTTTTTACAAACTTAATCTATATATTCTAAGTTTTTATTGATTATAAAGAGTTAATCAATCAATAAAGAAATAACTTCTGTTTTTAGAAATTATAATAAAATATGTGTTGTTTTGTTAACTTAAAACAAAGACGTGTATGATTTTATAAATGTTTTGTGATTATTTTAAAACTGTTATGGCATAGTGGTTATCTCACGCGTATAAGTTCGATTCTAAAACACTGATACATTAATTTGAGTACAGTGCAAATATCATGTACAAACTATATTGATATATTTTGAACAAGTATTTAAAAATGTATATTATTATTGATTATTTGTATTTATAATACATGAAAATTTACAATTATATAATATTATTGTTTACTTGATTATAATTTTAATAAATTAGAGTAATAAAAACATATTTACTTAATTAATATTTATAATTATATTGTAAATATTAGTTTTAATTAATTATATGTAATTTTATAAAAATATCCACCAAATTTATTTATTTTTCACATTTATATGAATAATGATGATAAAAATATTGAATTATATTTATTAAATCACCCATAATAATAACATAATTTAATAGTTTTGTTAAGATTATATAAGTTTAAACTTTAACAAATTTTGTCATTACATTTATTAATTAAAACATATTTTACATTTATAAAAAATAATATTTATTGTAGTTTCAAATGATAAACATGTATTTTAAAATTTATCTTTTTTAATATGTGAATAATTTTAATATCAAATGTGATAATGTTATTATAAAATTAGAATAATCACTCACTGTAAATAGTATTTTTTCTTTTTATGAAAAAATGAAAAACAGAAAGTTTTATGTCATACAACTTTTTTTACTGAATTAAAGATAAATATTTTTAGATTTGTTCTTAATATTTTGTAAAACTATTTTACCAAGTTAATATTAAACACAATTAAATTTGATTTAAGTTTTGTAATATAAAGTCCAAAAAGTTCAATTCACATATGCAAATTAATTCAATTAGATTTCCTGAAACGCTAGTTGTAGTTTAGGAATTTTAATTCAATCAATTCAATTATAAAAATAAAAATATGAAGCATAACCAAAATGTTAAATAATCAATCCATATGATCACTTATACATACAAATCGAATTTGTATTATCATGATCGCTTAAGATTCGAATCTACGATTAAGTATTCAATTGATATAATTAAACAATTTAATCGAATAATATAATTAAACTAAATCGCAAATTATATCAAAATATTATTCGAACTAACTTATATTCAATCATCAAATTAAGGTGTTAACCATTTTTTTAAAGTTTATATTTTACAAAAATCTAAATCATAATTATATAAAAAATTTAAAATAATAAAAGAACAAAAAATCATAATTATATACATAACTCATATTTGATTTCGTTTGAGCTTCAAATTCATGGAATCAGAAGCTTATTCTTCCATTGAAGAAGTATTAAACTATAAAACTTCAAATTTTAAATAAAAAATAAATAAATTTAAAAGAAATTCTAATTGAATTACTTATCTATTTATGAATTCTTATTGGTATTCTTAAATATAAGTGTAGAAACGGATATGAATCACAAGGAATAATTTAAGATCTTTAAGGTTAGAACCTTGTAAGAAATTTAGAAATTTAGTGATAAGGTGGAAGGAAAAAATCACTCTTTCTAAGAAAGACAACACATAAAGGATGTGAAAATCATTTTATATAGCTGAGGGTTTTTGAATCACTCAAGAACTTAGGAGAATCACTCTCACTAAGATAAAAAAGATAAACTCTAATATTTCTAAAAATAAAACTCAACTTGTTATTTTTGATAAAAATTGTTCAGCTTATAAAGAAGTTTTGTCATCAGAGTTACAAATATTCGTTAAAGAAAAATAAATACTAATAATAATTTATTAACCTAAGAATGAAAAACTACTTAATGATTGATTGTAACTGAAATTGTGACATCCAAAAATCAATCAGTTATGCACCCCTTGGTCTTCCAAAGACTGATGACTAAATTTTCAATTGGGCTCTTATTACAACTTAAAACAAAATCAAACTAAAGTCCATTAATTGATTAATTCAAAACATAATTTGGTCAACCAACAATATTTGTTGAAGAACTTCCTTTATTTTCCTTGTTCTAGCCCTTATCATAGGTCATGTTCACATCATTCTCTCCCTCTTAAAAAGGATTTGTCCTCAAATCGAATTCACCATCTATATAAAATAGAGATAAGTCTGACAATTTGAATGTAAAATTAACATTATACTCACTTTTTATGGCTAAATAATTCTCCCTCACTTCAAGTGTTTCACTATTCTTTTGATCAATCTTTTTCCTCTCAAGTGTTTTACTAACGTTTTCTTTCTTTCTCTTTTCTTGAAGAAGTTTTTCTCTCATTTTCTTTTTATCCTCACATAGTTCTTGTGAACTCAAAGGTTTGAGCACAATCTTCTTATCTTGGTGCATGAAAAAGATATTGTTGGTGAATCTGTTATGATTAACTCTTTTATCAAATTGTCATGATCTCCCCAAAAATAAGTGACTGACTTCCATAGGAATAATATCACAAAACACCTTATCATTGTATTTTTCAATGGAAATTTTCACTTCAACTTGTTGTCTCACTTGCGTCCCTCCATCCTTACTAAGCCATTGAAGTTTATATGACCTAGGATTTGATTTGGTACCTAAATTTAGCTTTGACATTAATCTAACACTAGCCACATTGGTGCAACTACCTCCATCTATGATCATCATGCACACCTTGTCATTGATTAAACATCTAGTGTGAAAAATATTTTTTTTTTGGCTTTCTTCCATAGATTTCAATTGACTATCAAGTAATTGCCTAATCATCAATAAATCTCCCTTTAGAATCTCCTCCTCCTCAATGTCTTCACTCCTTTCTCCCTTTTCAACCTCAGATTCACTTATATATTTTCCCTCTCTAATAACCATGGTCTTTGTGTTAGGGCACTCATAAGCATAGTGTCCTAAGCCTTGACACTTGAAACACTTCACATCTCTACTTTTTTTAGAGGGTTGTTCTTCATATTTTGAATGAGTCTTTGTAGGAATAGGTGTGGAACTACTAGAAGTAACAACTCCATCTTTCTTGTCTTTGTCCTTCCAACTTGAAAATCCAAAGTTGGTAGAACTCTTCTTAGTCATTTCTTTTCTTTTGAGTTGTTGTTCTACTCAAATTGTTTTATGAAGTAAATCCTCCATATCAACAAACTCCTGCAACTCAACAATATCACATATATCAATATTCAAACCATCAATAAATCGGGCCATAGTTACCTCTTCATCTTTGCTTGAATCATGAGCATGTCCATTTCTTTGAAATACTCTTCAACCCCCTTGTTGTCTTGAGTAAGTTTTTGGAGTTTAAATTTCAAGTCCCTTGCATAACTAGCCGACACATATCGCTTCCTCATGATCCTTTTCATCCCAGTTCATGTATCAACCATTGACACTTCATTTCTATCTCTCTCATTTTGTAGCTTGTTCCACCAAACAAGAGCATAGTCAGAAAATTTCGTTGTTGCAAGCCTCACCTTTTGAGTCTCCTCATAATTATTGCATGAGAAAACATGTTCTATTTTCATCTCTCACTCCAAGTATGCCTCTGAATCACTTTTTCTTTTGAACAGAGAAATGTTAAGTTTGACTCTTTCAAGCCTACTTGGTCTTGCTACTCCATCATTCATTCTCCTATTTCTTCTTTCTTCTTCGTCTTCAAAATTTCTATTCTCCAATCGGTTCAATCTTTAGTGGAGTTCATTGTTATGTCGTATCATTAATCCTTTCAAATATTATACTAATACTCTCATTTGAAATAGACTAATTCCTACTTCTTGATTGTAATTTTCATGTTCTGTCATCAATTCGATGTTTAAACCCTCAAACCTGGCTCTGGTACCAACTGATATAGATCACAAAGGGTAATTTAAGATCTTTAAGATTATAACCGTGTAAGAAATTTAGAAATTTAATGAAAGAATCACTCTTTCTAAAGAAGACAACACATAAAGAATGTGAAAATCCTTTGATACAACCAAGGATTCTTGAATCACTCAAGAACTTAAGAGAATCACTTTCACTAAGATAAAAAAGATAAACTCTAATATTTCTAAAAATAAAACTTAACTCATTATGATAAAAATAATTTAGATTTTAAAATAAATACTAATAAATTTTGAAATAAATACTAATAATGATTTATTAACCTAAAAATTAAAAACTATTTAATGATTTATTAAAATTATAACATTCAATAATCAATCAACTATACACTTTTTTGTCTCCCCGATAACTAAATTTTCAATTGAATTCTTATTTCAATTTAAAACAAAATCAAATTAAAATTTATTAATTAATTAATTCAAAATATAATTTAATTAACCAATGATATTTCATGTTAAGATAAAAAACTAATAATATATGTGTAAAAGTAATAATATATTTTACACATGATTCACGTAAGAAAATCTAATTATTTTGTCTCAATTTAAAAAAGTTATAACTTCAACTAAAGAAATCCGTCTGAAAATCATATATCCATGACTAATTCTAAAATGTAAAATGTTTAATGAAAAAATTTAATAAAAAATGATATTTATAATTCAAATTATAAATAAAAAGGTAAAACATGTTTAATTTATTTCAAATAGTAAAAAAAAGATAAAATAAAAAAGTAAATTTCTTACCATTGAAATCAGATAAAATTTGAAAATTTTATTTCTCAACAGCCATTACTTGTAATTGCGCTATATTACATCATTCACACGCAAAACATCCTTATCAAAATAAAACAAAACAACCCATGCGATTTTAAAGAAAGGAACAAAGAACATAGCTTAACCAGAAATTTCAATGGCCTTCACTTCATGCTTCTTATCCTCTTCCTTGGGAACAGTAACAGTGAGAACCCCATTTTCCATTGAAGCCTTCACTTGTTCCACTTTTGCATTCTCTGGCAATCTGAACCTTCTCATGAACTTCCCACTGCTACGCTCCACGCGATGCCACGCGTCGTTCTTATCTTCCTTCTCAACGTTCCTTTCTCCGCTAATCTGAAGAACATTATCATCTTCGATCTCTACCTTCACTTCCTCTTTCTTCAGCCCCGGAATGTCAGCCTTGAACACGTGTGCCTCTGGGGTCTCCTTCCAGTCCACACGGGTGCTCACAAAAGCAGAATTTTCCCGAGAAAATTCAGGAAAGGAATTAGAAAGAGAACTGGGGAAAGGAAAATCCTTGAAGGGATCCCAGACGTCCAAGGAGAAAGGATCAAAGACATTGCTCCTACGACCACTGAAGAAACTTGGGATTAGCGACATGTTTATAAAACTGAGCAAAGATTTGAAACTTGGCAGATTGTAGCGAGATCTTAGACAGGTAACTCTTCTCTTGTTTGATGATGTTTGGGGAACTGATGCGGTATTTAAAGGAAGTGGAAGGACAATATAGATGATTCCAGTCAGTTACAGATCAGTTACAGATGATTCCATAAACATCTGGAATTTTCACGCTTCACTCAGAAGGTTCTTGTATTTTAGATATCATTGTTTATTTATACGGACATGAATCCTGAATCGGCCCACATTACAAAATAACCAACTAGAGCCCAATAGCAGAATTTCCATATGCGGAACATAAAAAAACCTTAAGAAGTGAAAAAAAAATGAAAATGAGGTTTTGTTTAGACGGATAAAAGAATAATTTAATTTTTTTATCTGTTTGAATAAATGAAAAGAGAATGAAAATAAATTAATAAATTATATATTTTTTATGCTATCCATAAAATATTTTGTTTTTAACATATGTTTATTATTTAAAAAAAATTGTTTTAAAAAAACTATATAAGTTAAGAAATTAGAAATAAGATACCCTTAATTTTTACAATATTACCTTTGTACATAAAATTAATATTTATTTATTTATGCTAAAACTAAACCTGGAAAATATACATGACAACTCTGAAAAAGATAAGATATACATTTGTTTAATCAATTATTATTTTGTTTAAATAATAAACACAAATAAACCAGGCAAAAAAAATCTATTTAAAAAAAAAAAAACACAATGAAATGAGTCCAACATAGTAATTGTTTCCATTTACACGTGAACAAAACTATAAAAGCATTCTCATTTCCATCGTTATTTGATTACCAATCCATTCATGCCCGAATCAACCAAGCAACATATAAACAACTTCTAAATAAGGTAGGCACATTCCTTAGGGATTTTTTGAAGGTGAAACTAATCTAAAAAAAAAAAAAGGTTGACATAAGCGATTGTATATCATTATGAGCGGAACTACAGTGTTTGTTTTGTTTGTACAAAACTAGAGATGCAGGATGAGAATGGATTGTCAGTTGTGGATGGGCATGGGAGGGTTGAGCTTGGGTAGAGTGATGATGAGAATCCCGTCTTCGATGGAGGCCATGATGTTATCAGGTTGGGCGTTGGCAGGGAGTGTGAAACATTTTCTGAACTTGGACCTGCTCCGCTGGACCCGGTGGCTGGCTTGGCCCTCCTCTTGTCTCTCTAACACCCTCTCTCCGCTCACCTGAAGGACGCTCCCGTCTTCCACCTCCACCTTCACTTCCTCCCTCCTCAGCCCCGGCACGTTGCCCTTCAGCACGTGCGCATCCGCCGTCTCCTCCCACTCGAACTTCCCTCCCAGAAAAGAGGCGCCGCCTGCGAGGGCGGAGGCAGAAAGGGCCCTGAAAGGGGAATCCTGGAAGGGGTTCGCGTTCGGGACGATCGACATTTTCTTTATCACTAAGAAACACAGATTAATTGTTTGCGACTAATCTTGAATTATATTTATGCATTTTTTCAAAGGTCCTGAGAATTCTTCGCTCAGTTCACGGACCACATTGTAACACTCTCTTCTTCCCACGTGCATCTGGACATCATTTTATCTCCACTCTTACGTACTATCATTTGGATCTTACTATTCAGTATTTCACCTATTTATTTTTTATTATTATTTTATCCACTTCTATTTTTAAAAAGTATAAATCACAAAAATATAATATATTTAGAGTGATGATATTTTAAAATTGGACAATCATTCATTCGTACACTACAAATCTCTTACTTATTTTTTTCTTTCTCTATTTCTCACATAATAAATATTCATCTTTCGAAATTAAATAATATATTATTAATAAATAATAAATAAATATAAAAAAAATTATAAATATATATTTAAATATATTAAAAATTATTAAATTTAAAAAAAATAAAATCATAAATTATATAAAAATTACAAAATTAAAATAAACTAAAAAAAATAAAATTATAAATATATAAATAAATATTTATTAAATTTAAAAGAGTTAAAATCATAAATTACATAATAATTAAATTTTTTAGGAACCACAATCTCTTTATATTATTTCTTCTTCTCATTTTTTTTTACAGGAGTAAAGAGATTTGTTGATTCAGGGTTCGTGAAATATTTTCCTTAAAATTATCAACTTTATAATTTATTTATTATAATATAATAATACAAATATTTTTGGAAATTAAATTATTTTAAATATTATCTTCTTAATATTTAAGAACTAGTTCAATAATCAACGGTCAGATTAATGATGTTTTCTGATAATGTAATTAGGGTGATAATTATAAAACATATCTTTAATAAAAAAATGCGGATTTTTGCCAACTCTATTTAAACATTGTTATAAAATACAATTTTAACAATATACTAAATTGTATTTTAATTATAAAATTAAATTACATGTTGACGTTAATTATACAAATCAAACCTGAACAATCTTAACTATTGTTTATTATTAACAGAGACTCTCTGCTATATAACATATATGCAATTCACGTATGAGACACACATGACAGTGAAGTAGGCATCGCAACTTTGCGGAGGCGGATTTTGTCTCCTGATCCCGTCCGCATATCTGTATTGTCTCTCATTTCCGATAAATCCTCGTTCCATTTTTATTGGATTTTAAATTTTCTCATCTCTAATCTATAATCTTTTTAAAAAATAATTATAATTATAATAAATTATTTTTATTATTTTTATATATAAATAAATATTTATAATTTATAATTAATATTTATTAAATATATTTTTTAATTTATTATATTTATATTAAAATATATATGTAAAAAATATTTAATTATTTTTTATTTATATTTATAAAACTATTATTATTATTTTAAATTATCATTTAAAAATATAAAACATATAATTTATAAAAAAATATTTAATAAATTAATTTTTATTTAATTAATTTGATGTAATAAAATTTTATTTTTTTTTAATTTTTTAAAATATAATTATTTTATTAAAATAAAATTTGATATATAATAAATAAAAATAATAAAATTTAAAAAACATAATATAATAAAATTTAATAAATATAAATTATAAATAAATAATATTAATTATTATTAAAATTTATATAAAGTATTTTAAAAAATAAAGATAAAAAAATTAATTTTATATTTATTAAATTTATTGAAAAGATTAATAAAAAAATATAAAAACTAAAAAATATAAAAATTAAAAAATTAAAAAAAATATATATATATATATAATAAAAAATATTAATATTTTAAAATTAAAATTAAAATATAAAATTAAAAAATATAGAAACGAAATTAAAGAAAAAATTACATTCGCCCCGCCTTTAAAAAGGGGAGAAAACCCGCCTGAAACCCCGAATAAATTCGAAATGGGATTTTTATTCACATGAAACCACACATCAAATACAATACAACTTAGTTCCAACTTGGGCAATAACAATTCTCAAAATTGGCCACTCTGACACAAGACACAGAATATTTAGTATGACTTAGAAAGCTTACAATTTTCAGCTAAACACGCAGCTTAACCAGAAATTTCAATGGTTTTTACATCAGCCTTCTTCACCTCTTGCTTAGGAACAGTGACAGTGAGAACCCCATTTTTCATAGAAGCCTTCACTTCCTCCACTTTTGCATTCTCCGGCAATCTGAACCTCCTCATGAACTTCCCGCTGCTACGCTCCACGCGATGCCATTTATCCTTCTTATCTTCTTTCTCCACGTTTCTCTCTCCGCTTATCTGAACAACCTTATTATCTTCAATCTCCACCTTCACTTCCTCCTTCGTCAGCCCCGGAAGATCAGCCTGGAACACGTGTGCCTCTGGAGTCTCCTTCCAATCCACGCGGGTGCTCACAAATGCAGAATTCTCCTGGGAAAATTCGGGGAAGGAAGCAGAAAGGGAATTGGGAAAAGGAAAATCCTTGAAGGGATCCCACACATCCAGAGAGAAAGGATCAAGGACGTTGCTCCTTCGACCACCGAAGAAACTTGGAATGAGTGACATCTTTGGAAGAGATTTGAAAGTTGGCAGATTGTAACGAGATCTTAAACAGCTAATCCTTTGCTTGTTTGATGATTGACGACGAAGGGGAAGTGGTGCGGTATTTACACTAAGAGAAAGGAAAATGTTGTATGTTCCAGAAATTTCCTATTTACAATTTCTTTGGTTGTACAAATGGAGAATATTCCCAAAACTTTTATAGGTTTCTTCAATGGTCGCGAAAGTTCTAGTTTGCTCAAATTATCACTGTATTCAACTCTCAAATATTCTTATAATTCAAAATTATTAGTTTAGAGTAGATTAATAATAAATACATTTCTTATTCAAATAATCTCCCATTTTCATAAATATATTATTTTTATCTGCTGTAAGTAAAATATTATTTAAAAAATAAAAAAATAATATTTTTCTAAAAACTGAAACTTTTTATTTTAAATGCTAAACATGCACTTATTTTTGGAAATAAGGCCGGCCCTACGTAATTCTACAATGCCTAAAATAATCAACTATACTACTTTTCTTTTCCTGTTTACATTCTTTTTCTTTTTATTTTACATTTTGGAAATTATTTCAAAAAACGTAAAAAAAAAATCTATATTAAGAGGTGTGAATAGAAATAAAAATTGAGATAGAATCACCTTACATTCTTTAGTAATGACTCCAAAACAAAATTTAGAAAAAGAAAATATTAGATAATGAATGTTAAATGATATTTTTGACGTACAATGAAAGGGTCTAATGTAAATTTTCAAAACCAAACCATTAAATAAACTTGTTTTACTGGTTTAAGACTTATTTATTAAACCAATAATAAGGTGACATTAAAAAATATAATATCATAATTTAATAATACTGAAATTAAAAATAATGTTTTTCTTTTAAAATTTAACATTCAAAATACCCATACAAATCAAATATATCACAATATTTAGACTTAAGGTTCAATCATGTATAATAATATTTTATTAAAATAAGAAATTCTTATAAAGGAAATGGCAAATCATTTGCATTGTTGTTTTTAAAGAAAAAGAAATAAAAATAGCACTATTTTTTGCTTTAATCCATTGACTATTTTTAATTTTTGTCCAGTTTTGAACCAGTTTTATAATTGTGATAAAGGGATACAAAAATCAATTCATCACTTAATTTTTAGATTGATAGGTCGATCCATTCCTGAAAACGAATACCTTATACCTTGTTTGTTTCCGTCTTAGAAAGAAAGGGAGCGACAAATTACATATTTTAATATATGAAAAATAGCAAATATCAAGAAAGAGATGTTCTTTATTTCCATATTCAACGAAGCGATTTGCAAAAACAATTACACAATGAATTATGTCCACATTCTTTTATTATAGTAATAAATAATTAAAAAAACATTAAAATAAAACAATAAATACCAATAACAAAATATTTATCTCAATTATTATTCTTAAAAAAAAAAAAATTCCTCCTTTCTTTTCTTTGTCACTTCTCACTCTTTAGCCTAAAGAAAAGGCTAATGATAAAGTACCAGTAAGGTTTCAAAAAGATTACTTGGAATGAACGCAAACCAACCATAGAAAGAACACAACTGAACTGATATCTCCCTTTGAGTAGACAAAAAGAGGCAAGATAGATGAGAAAAGAAAGGGTCCTTCCTTACATCAGTCAACATTGTGCAATTGAAAATTTGAAATAAGAAAAAAAATGGTACATTCTTTTGACAACATAAAAAGTCTTATCCTATTCTTTCCTATATAGTAGAGACCTGGGGGGAACGTAACCTTTAAATAATACACTAAAAATAGGCCAAGGTATATAGGTATTCCTAAATTCCTAATGTTTTCTTCTCTTTGGTTTTCCTTCTGGAGAATTGTCTGGGGGCATAGAGGAAATGCCAACGCTGTGACCATGTGAGACCTCAGACAAGTTAGATTTAGATTTAGTTTTAGACCAATGTCTTTTTTTTGAAATACTTGATGGCTCAGTAACTTCAGACAAAGAACTTTTCTGCCTACTACCTTTTGATGAAGCTGCAATTCCACCACTTTGCATAGGAAAATATCGAGATGAAGTTGTCCCTGTCACTCCAGAAGAATTTCGATTTGCATGTCTTGCGTTGGTTGAATTGAGCTTTTCAAATTCTTTCGGATCAGGGTAATGGACAGTTGAAACTCGCATTGAAATCTTTCCTGCAGTTAAGCGAAAGAAAATACCTATTAGAATTAAAAGTACTATTACAACACTACAAAGTGTCAAGAAAAGTGATCAAATACAGCAAGGGAATATACAATCCAATATAAAAACTGGGAGAAAAAAAGAAGAAGTAAGATCCATGTGAATCCAAACAGTTTCTGAAAACCAAAGCCAATGAGAAAACTGCTGGTCAAGTTCAAAATCAAAAGTAAATATTTGCTACCGTACTTAAAATATAACTTCCTGTTATACATGAATGCTGGACTTTCATACACATACTTTTGTTAAGAAAAACAACATTAACAGAATGAATTGAACAAAATAATCAAACCTTAGATTAGAGGTTTCATGGTTCACAAAGGGATAGAAACAAGACTAAGGGGTGGTTAGTTTGGAACTTCCAGAATTGTAACAAATAATAAGAAGGTTAACTTCCAGAAGTTTTTCAAATGCTACTCAAAGTAGCTTGTAACAAATAATAAGAATTTTCGGATTCAGTTTTATTTTAGAAGGTTAAACAAACACACCAAAATTGTTTAGAAGTGATTTTTTAATTCTAATATGTACTCTCACAACTCATTAAATATGACTATATTACGCATAAAAAACGTATACTGAGGTACTAACTCATGGATGTTGCAGCAAGTACATCAACACCACTGTAAAAGCTATTAATTCAGACAACTCTTGGTGCAAAACTAGCTACTACCACATCTTCGGAATATTCTTATGACGAGACTTCACCTAAAATTAAGGTAACTAACAATAAAGCTCTCTGAGAGCAGGAACAATCCTCAAAGAATTGTTAAATAGACATTGAAATGACCAAAGAACAAAGATTAGCAATGGCCCCATTTTACATGTTATGTCTTGAGATTAATAATGGTAACAATAAATCTCTTAATAATTCTCAAATTCTTAGTTATCATCCTTCATAAAAGAGTAAAGAGGAGATTAAACAAAGAAAATCCATGGATGTGTACCAATTTTTGGTTCTGTAGAGGAAATAAAAACTGTTTCATCTGGTTCCTGAGCAGAATAGCTTACAAAATCATATACCTTACCTGTCAACATAACATGAAAATTAAGCCACTTGCAAAGCAATAATAATCATATCCCACATACAAAAGAAGTCATTTTAGAGATTAATTATTCAGAAATTGAAGTTGAGAACATGGATTGATGATGTCACACAGATGATTTATTTTATTTACCTGATGTACCCGCAAAGCTGGCTATCTTACCATCATTATGAAATGTGAGAAACAATTTCTGCCCATGTATGTCAGATAAAAAATCCTGGGTAACATCATACACACATCAAGTAAGACAATGGTACAAACACGGCTCTTCCATCATCTAACTCCTAGATGGAAGGAAACACCACCAATACTGACACCAGCTCATTTGAATGGAAAGCATTCTTAAAAAGTTATAAAAAATTGACCCACTAGTAAGGAGGAAATGTCAGCAAATGAATAGAGGTAATACACAGAAATGTATTTTTCCACACTCCTTAATGAGATCTGGCGCAGCAAAAATAAATATGTACATGAATTTTTAATCTCCAAGCAGTATCCAACACAAAATAAAATAAGCTTAATAGAGAGGCTTGATCAAAAAGAAGCTTAACTGTTTGAAGCTGTAATGTAACTGAAGTCAATGTACTAATTTTTATTTTTAACATTGCTTGAGACTACACTTGATCTTTCACTTTTGTAACGATATAAATGCTTAGGCGGTTTCTTTTTTTCTTCGGTTCAAAATAAACAATCTAAAGGCATAAAGGACAATCTTACATTGGAAGAAGGCAACTTAAGAAACAAGAGCTCAGTTGAGTCAGTCAAGTTAATGAGTGCTTCATTGCTGTCTTCCACATATTCTGCGGATGGCCTGTAACCCTCTGCGCCCTCCAAATCCATCATTGAAAATTGCAGAGCGTAAAAATGATTCCTACCATCATTAAACAAAAGAAAAAAGGAGAAAGAAACGAAGAACAGAAAATCAAATACCGATATACAAATCTTCAGTTTAAATACTGAAAAACATAGTCTGATACAAAACTGGGTTGAATTATGAACACAAGTCAAGTTCACCAATGGTGAAAATTTAACTCTACTACACTTCTAACACATCCACAATTCAATTGAGACCATCCCCTAAAAAGCATATAGTGGAATGGCTGGTAGTCAGAAAAATTATTTACGGAATAAATAATTTAAGCTATATATGCATAAATGCTCAAAAGTTTTAAAAACTAAAACTCAATGACATGTACATAAATAACAACAAAATGTGGGCAAAAATCAGTGGTCATGGCCATAAACAGAAATGTAATGGGGTAGAGGAGGTGACAGAAGATAAGGTCCCTGTCGCCCAAGAGGGCTGCACTAGTTGTGAAACTGCCAGAAAACAGAGATCGAGTGCAGGAGAGCGTACTTCAAAATTTAGAGGTGGGAGTGCTTCAAAATAGAGATTGCTCAATGCTGGAAAATTGAATAACAGTAGAAGGGGGTAAAAAAAGAGTTTTTCGCCTACCCATTAGAATGTTTGATTTATATCAAAGAAAATGCAGTTGGTAATTTAGGTTTTATCCTCATTCTCCAATTTAAACGCTTGTTTGATAAATAATTGATTTTGAGAAATAGCCGCTTTTTTTGTCACAGAACCTTTAGCAAAAGCCAGCATGCCTTTAAATTAAGCTGAATCAGAGATACAAACATGTTCACTAGGCATAAAAAAAAACTCCGAAACCCTAAACAAACAGCATCACTGAATACAAAAACAATATGCAGCGAGAAGGCAAAGGGAGAATAACGAGTTGCGTGGAAGAAGTATAAAAAATACAGAGTAGAGTGTGAGTTACCGGACACGGCGCAGTTTGAAGGGTCCTGAAGTTGTAGAAACACCAAACAAGGGAAGAAGAGGCTGTATCAACTACATCTCTGCACGAATTTTAAATAGATGAAAAGTAGTAACTAGGGCTTTTTCCCTGCAATTTTATTATTATTTTTGTTTTTTTGGTCTATAAAACAAATCATTCTACCAAATAAAATATTAAATCTGAATAAAGAAAACTGAATATTATATATATATATATATATATATATATATATATATATTAAAATAGCAATCTTTAAGTTGAATTATAAAATTCCTATTTTTTTATTAGTCTTTGCAGTTAGGTTATTGTTAAAATTTGTTTTTAAATTAAAAAAAAAACACTTATTTACTATGATCTTCCAATTGTAATTTAATATAATGAATTACATATTATTTTATTCTCTTAAAAAATTTTAAATACTAATATTTTGGTAACATATATCGTTATTTTCGTATAACATATTTCGTTATTTTCGTAATGAAACTATTTTATTAAAATGTTCTCTTAAATACTAATTAAAAAATTGTTCCATTAATGATATTATTTTTCTATAAAATGTAACAGTATCTATTAAAAGTTAAAAAAAAGGTGAAAATATATACTAAATATTACACATTAAAAAATTAACTAATTTATTACAGTAAAAACTTATTTCAAAATTAGTTTAAAATTATTATGTATGTGAGAGAGGTTGGTAGTATTGAATATAAGTTACTAATAAAAATTCAAAATACATATTAATCATAGCTTGTTATATTTTTTTTAACTTTTTATTTAGAGAGTCACGACACGTGTTAACTTAGCATTTAAAATTTTCTTTTTTATTTTTATAAACTATTGGTTACAATAGCATTAGAAAGGATGGTGGTTGATGATTAAACAACCTATTCTTTGAAAGTTTAAATTTTATATATGATTTAAATTTTATATATGATTTAAATTTTGTAGACGATGTACGTGAGTATTTATCCTTCTTACTATGTGATTGTTATATAATATGTAAGAATTATCTCTCTTATTTTTTGTTCATAAAATTAAATCTATATATTTAATTTTTTTATTTTACGAATATTTAACTTTTTTATTTTATGAATAAATAACAGCAAATTTTTTGAGATAATAATTCTGGACAATAATTTTGTACAATCTGCAATTTCAAAGAACATTACAATCATTGAGTATTGTCAATGGAAAATTTTCTAAGGTCAAAAGAATACTGTAATTTTGTAGATTTTAGAATTCTCATGTAAATGGGGCTATAATTTCGTACAACCTGTAATTCCAAAGTTGAATGAACATTATGACAATTGGAAATTGTTAATGGAATATGTAAATGATCCGTAATTTTGTGCAACTTACAATTTCAAAGTTGAATGAGCATTACGACCATTGGACATTGCTAATGGAACATGCATGAGTTGTAATTTCATGCAACCTGCAATTCCAAAGTTGAACGAGCATTACAACCATTGGACATTGCTAATGGAGAATTTCATAAGGTCAAAAGAGTACTAGAATCTTTCTAAAATTTCACAACATGTAGATGAGGCTATAATTTCATGCAACCTATAATTTCAGAAGACAATGGTCACACAGTTGAGTTGGGGACTTTAAGGTAGGCAAGCCTTTCACCATATCATGCTTTAATAATGTTTCCGATCCATTATAACTCAAGTGACTATAATGAGAGTGCCAGACTTGACCTATTGTTGGCTTTGAACTTAATTCAAAGCAATAGTAAGAAACTTCAGATTTTACATAGATAGAAAACATGTGGTTAGTAGTCATAGATATTTTAAATATTAGACTCTCTCCTTGAAACACTTATTTTCTTTCATTTCAATCCTCAATTCGTTATTCAAAAATTGATCCACACTAAATAAATTATTCTTTAACTCAGGAACATAAAATACATCTGTAACCACGTGCATAACTTTATAGTTATTCCCCAACTTCATAAAAAAAACAATCATTTTTATCTGTCATGTGATTGTTGCAGCTTGAATAATGAACCACATATCTTGTGTAATTGATTCTTCATCTATTAGAAGTTGTGACATAAGTAACACGACTTCTTCACCAACTTCAGCATAATTTGCTCTGCTATCCCGAGACTTCTTTGGACATTCATATTGGAAGTGTCTGAACTTACTTCTTTGGATATTCATATTAGAAGTGTCTGAACTCATGGCAATAGTGGCATTTATAAATTGTCTACCTCTTCCTCTTCCTCTTGCATATGCTATTTGAAAAACACTTCTTCCCTATCTATTGTCAACACTTGTCTCCTCCTGTTAAACCTTTAATAGTTGCTTTTAATAGAATTATGTCCATTCATTATCTGCTCATACACTAACAAACTACTCTGGAGTTCATCTATAGTGATGGAATCTAAATCATGAGATTCCTCAATGGAACATACTACATAACAGTACCTCAGAGTCATTGAACGAAGAAATTTTTTCAATAATAGTAAGGTCAGATACCTGCTCACCTTGTATTCTCAATTGTGAGAGTCCGAGTAAAGTAATCATTAATTAATTCACCATTCTTCATCTGTAGAATCTCTCATTCGCATAATAGAGTCTGTAGTTGAGCTCGCTTCTCCCTCACAGTGCCTTGATATTTTTGTTTCAATGAATACCAAATCTCAACGTTGCCTTCTTTAAGATTTTTTCAAGCACGATTCTATCAATAGTTTGAAACAAGTAGTTTTTCACCTTCAAATATTTTAATTTCAACTCCTCCAAAGTTTTTCCCTCATTATCTGATAAAACAGCTCCATCTACATCTCCTCGAATTCCAAGAACTATAAGATTCTAGTACTCTTTTGACTTTAAAAAATTCTCCATTAGCAATGCCCAATGATCGTAATGCTCATTCAATTTTGGAATTTCAGGAACTATAAGATTCTAATACTCTTTTGACTTTGGGAAATTCTCCATTAGCAATGACCAATGGTCGTAATGCTCATTTAAATTTGTAATTGCAGGTTACACGAAATTATAGTCTCATCTACATGTTGTGGATTGGAGTGAAGCAGAAACCAGTAGAATAATTGATGCTAGACCTATCGAAGAATTTCCTCAAGCAAACGAGGGAGTATTCCAAACAAGCAAACGAGGAAGTATTCCAAACAAACTTAAATGATGATGCAACAACAATCACCAATACAACAGAGATGGACTCAACCTCTAATTCTCCAATAAGAGCCCTTCCAATTGAAGGGAGGACTAGACCACTAACGGGATGAAATATTATGTCACCAATGTTGATTTAATTAATGAAGATGTTATAAATTTTATAATATTTGAATGAATTTGTTATGACAAAATTTTTATTGTACGGAAGAAATATATGAGGATATGTTGGACAGATTTTATATGTTTGATTGTAATTTAGTTAAGAATCCTATCATTACATGTATTAAGTTGTTGAAAACAGATAAAAGGATAGAAATTGATAATACTTTATTCAAACCATTTATGAAAAACCTTATGTATCTGAATGCTATTAGATCAGATATTGCACATTCAATTAATGTGATTAGTCGCTTCATAAAACATCCTAAAGATGACTTTGTAATAACAAAACATATTTTGAGATATTTACAGGAAACTAAAAATTTAAGAATTTTGTATAAAATTTGAAGAAACATATATTTACTTGTCTATAATAATAATTATTATACAGAAAATACAAAAGATAAAAATAGTACATCTAATTATATTTTAAAATTAATAGATAGTGTAATTAATATCTTGATCATAAAAAAAATCATTGGATAACTTATCTATAATAGAAATAAAGTTTATAACAGTTACGTGGTTACCAATGCATTTGACTGGGAATTTTTTTGGAACATCTAAATTGTAATAATAAAATTATCCAAAATTTCAATCTTTATATATATATATATATATATATATATATATATATATATATATATATATATATATATATATATATATATATATATATAAAGTAAACATGTCATTTTCTTTATATTCTAAATTCTATCTTGTATGTGGTATATTGTGT